TTTGCGCTGACGTCCAGTTCTTCTATTCGACATCCGCGCGTTTAACGGAAAATAGAGGACTGTGAACAGTCTATTATTGGCTACGCAAGCCGTGTCAGGCCGTTGTCAACTTCTTTGCGTTTTCGAAATGTCTCTGAAGAAGGTTTAGCCTGCAATATCAGTCATCTCATCCCCGGGCCGGAGATGACTGACATTTCAGACTAAAGAAGATTTAGAGTAGTAGATTTCTATGCGTGATAGCTGACTTCAGCTGCGCCCCCGTCAACCTTCACATGACGCGCTGGAAATCTCGCGTTATAATTTAATTTTCAAGTAGAATTTACATCTCTCTTGTCGGTAGCCCAAGTACTGCCATATTTTATCACTGTACTTGTTGGCATATCGTTACATATGATATCATTCTCAAAGAAAGCCATGTTAGAGTATAAAATACATGATTGACCTTTTGAGGGCATGTAGCTGAGTTGTGTGTTTTCTGTGTTTGCGGCTGCGCACAAACTCAAATTATCAGGCAAATCGGTCTTGATCGCTAGTCTGACTGGGCAATAAAAATTGCTCATTCTCAGTCACGCAACGTAGGAATATTTTTTATTTTGAAGCAGAAAAATATTTCACTGTGAAAACTTGCCTGCATAAGGGCTTTTACATGTAAAACTGTCTGTTTCTTTATCTAGAGACTTGATTCAGAATTGCATATCTCAACACATGTTTCTACCATTATCATAAAATGTTTTGCTTCATGTATCACATGCTTGTCACATGCATGTACGTGATCAAAACGGATTTGCCCTATCTACGTCCCCGGTCTACGTCATGAAAAGATCTTATAAGGGTGGTAACGCTTGTCCGCCGGATAAATCATTGTCATCCAGTTTTACCCGGTGGTTAGTGTTACCCTTGAACAACTGGTGCCAGTTACTACGTTCCCTCGATTTCCATAGTTAGTTTGCCGACAGGTAACAGTGCTGCCAATCTCAAGATTATCACTAGCCGCACGCGCCGGTTTGGCGCCACACGCACCGTAGTCCATTTAGCTTGTAGTAACCCTAGTAGTTTATTTAAATAAACGAAAAACTACACTAATGAGTAAGCATACCAAAGAGCCAAAAGACCTTTTCCGGCACTTCAATAAAAGGAAAAAATAGGAGAGCTGAGGTCAGAATCGTTATTTTTTTATGGAACTTCAGTTGAAATTTACGTCTGACTATTTCTTGTTCGCCCACTTGAAAAATACCGATTTAACACTCAATCAGGGCCTCATTATTATTATTATTATCATTATCATTATTATTATTATCATCATTATTATTATTATTATTATTATTATTATTATTATTATTATTATTATAGAGTGGTACTTTGTAAAGCATTAAATATTAAATCAAATTCAAATGTGTAAATCTTTAAATTGCCTCTGTCTTCTTTATTGAAGTTAGACAAGTCAGCGCCGTCAGCTGCATGGTGTTTTATCGAAACATATTTAAACATTTTATATTGCTAACTTCTCTGGATACACATTAAACCTTGGCTCGAGCTTATTTCAATCTCTTAACACGTTAAAAATACCGCCTAACTCTTAATTTAAACTAAGCTCCCGATTGAACGGGTAACTGTAATTGAGTCACTTTTATTTAGTTCATATTGTTTGTATGAGGTCTTATTTTTATTATCATTTGTTCTTTTAGATAATTATGGGGTCAAAGTGCTTTAAAGGGAACCAAAGTCTTTCATCAGGTAAGTTCATTTGCCATAACTGAGTTTGAATGACTTCAAGCGATGGACAATCGCACTAAAAACATCAGGCCGGACACCGAGTTCCCTGGCCTTCTGTCTAGGTAGTCTTGTCTCCAAGCTTCCTTGAACTCTTCACGCTCGGGTTTTGAGCGTCGAGACAATTTTTCGCCCCGAGATCGGCCTTCCAAGCTCGACTTGTGGGGCAGTCTTACTTACAACGCGGTGGTCAAATCCCGCCAATATTAAAGAGCATGTTCAGCTTGGCTTTCGCCCAGTTATATTTTACTCACTTCCCAGACATAAAAAGCGTTCAACAAATCTTGTTGCAAACACTTGATCATTTTCAACAATTTTTATCGATTGAATACATCGGAAAATAAGTAGTGCAAAGGGTAGTCTGCTTTATTTGCTATTTTGGGGCTCTTCACCTTTACCTTTTGAGAATTAAGTTGATAATGAAGTGTATGTTACACTTTGACGAAACAGGTGGTTTCATGTTTCCTTGACTTCGCCAAGACGCGGGATTTAGAGCGCAGGTTTAGGAGAAGAATTACCAATAAATAACTGAACAGTACATAATAACGAATTTAACCTCAAAATAACTCTTGAAGAAAGAGAAAAGTATTTGTGCAGGAGGCGCTCGTAAGTTAGTTATTGTTGAGGACACTTCAGGTCTATTTATGTAAATAACACTCAAAAATTCTCTTTTTGTTATGCAGCGAGATTTGTTTTATCTCTTACAACAGCTGTTCTGTAGGTTATCAGGATTCGAAGGAGGGCGTAACATATAAAACTGCATTTCTATTTCATAAAAGCGAGCATGACTTGCGCTAACTGTCATTGTTTTTTAAGGCTTCCACTTTTCTAAAATCATTTTAGTTCGACTCCTGTGGAACTGACGTGATGTAGTCGACATAAGCCTTGATCGGATATCGAGCCCTGCCTGGGTCAGTGAAATTACTAAACCTGAACCTTCACAAATATTCAGGGGCTTTATACACGTGGAATGAAAGCAGTAGAGAGAGAAATCACAAAAACTATTTCGTTTTGGTAATCTTCTTAATCTCTTCAAGAACATAAAGTGATTTGTACGTCTATTATCCTACCTAATACGACCACTGTCTGACGGTGACAATCAGTAAGCCGCTTATCTTTTTTACGTCAACCTTTGCCAGAAAGTTGTTTAAATACTGATCAAGATTAGAACTAGAGGACTGTGGCTAAGCTTTCAATGAAGCAACTGGAACTATATATGTTTTCCAGCTTTTCCTTATGTAGAAATGAAAACAATGAGGGACAGGAAATAATTGCTTGGCAAGAGCGCAAAACATACTGAGACCCGACTTCAACACCAGCGCAGAGCGTCCTACTGTAAGGAGAAATTAAAGTTTTTCGCAAATACAACAACACAGTTAAGAAAACATAGTAACACAAGTCTTCTTTTCTATCGCCGCACGACGCAATCGTTGCGAGAAGTAAAACTTGATTCTTCTTCGTGCAACGCTTGTTGCAACGAAAACGTTGCGAAAATGTTCATTTCAAGTGGTAGTTGCACAGCATTGTAAAAACGTTCAGGAAATGTTGCTCCGTTTATCGAATGAGAGTTAATCGCTTTTTCATACTGTAAATAAAGCATTTTGTGTCCAAACTGAAAAATTTCTAGTCTCATTTGAAAACGTGAGTCAAATTTTGGGCCACCACCGTTGAAGGTGCAATTTTGTTACGAAACACCTTCCAAGAAAAATTGCCCAACGTAACACCAGTGGTAGCCATTGCTTATCAAACCCTTCAGAGCATCTGTTGTGTCCAGACTGATATTTAACTGTCACGTGATATGCTCTACTCACCGATCGTCAGGTATGTTGGTACCGATGGAGTTTTCAGTCTTTTCAAGCTTGAAACCATAATCTTTTCTCAGTTCCTAATCAAGTAGGGAGTAAATTTCTATTCAGTGTTTCTATTTTTCTGGTCAGTCTCCGGAACCACTGTTTCTCACTTTTGTCGCTAAAAGCTTTTTCCCTTCAACAAAAAGCGTCAGTATTTGGGTATCGTTAACACCTCTTAAATCACGCTCTGTTGTTTTCCTTTTGAATTCACTTGGGCGGCTTTGAAAAACAGGAAGGTCCTCGCTAAACTCCTGGCCCGGGAAATTGACGCAAGCTTTCTCTTTTCACTCTAGGAAAAAAAAATAGCCATCTGAATCGCAAGCTCGTATTTTGATTTCTAGAAATCTTGTTCGGTTTGCCAACACCGCGCAACTGTTTTCCGTATGGTGGACTCTGGAAGGAAGGTAATCTCGTGTCACTTGTTAACAATGAAAACATTTCATAGGCGACTTGGGAAGAAGTCTAGAAGAAGTTCTCGCAGAGGGAAAGGCATAGAAATGTCCTCTTTTTTCACTAATCTGGATTGTGAAATAAAAATGCTCTCATTCTTCATGTCGCCAAATTAAAATGTTTACGAAATTCGGCTGTGAAATTCTATCTGGCTGAAATAATGGGATTTTCTGTAAACATCACTTGCCGAATGTTTTGTCAGACTTTTTAATCTTAAGTCTGTTCAACTCTTCAAAATTCAGTTTGTATAAGAAATCAAGGATTACTCGTGCCGATCATTTTTAACTTTCCGATAATTTGTTCTTTGATGCTCTGAAGTTCCGCGCGCCGGCCGGACAGCTCCTGATGGCCGCCGCCGGCCGGCCGCCGCATATAATAAACCCGGACCTGCTGAGTGGGATTTTATATACCAAAATCAGATGCTTTGTCGGAACCGTGTTGAAGCCGCTATTTAAGAAATTTAGAAGAAGCGGTGCTTTGAATGAAAGCAAATATTCAAGTCTTAATTTTATTGCACCACATTTTTTTTTCAGTTTCGCGACTTGCGCTCTTAAAATGCGAAATCAATCTCCTTAGTAGTTTGATGACAATATAAGAACTTGATAAGATTCTTTGTTTTTTCCATAGATCAGTTTTCCATCGACTATGGAAAATTGTCGTAGTCGTAGTTAAGATGAAAAGTAGTGTGGTGGTTTGCTTTTAGTAAGCTGTAAGAATGAAAGATAAATCAGAAAATAATTCGAATGAACAAAGATTAACAATATTCGTTTAACAACAAATAGAATACCATACAGCTGGGGGAAATATTTCTCGTTTTTTCTTTCCTTGCATTCTCTGGTTTTGAGCATACGATACTAAACTATCTCTGCATTGAGCTGAGTGCATCGAGGCAAAGCCAACTTCCATAAAATTACCACTCTACTGTAATTGGCTACTTTTGACGCCAGCCAATGAAATCACAGCTTTTTCTCATTAAGCTTTGATTAGAACAATCGAATCAATTTCTGTCAGTAGCTCAAAGCAAGAGGCCGTCCCTGCTTCAGTGCTTCAACAGAGCGATCCCGCGACATCTTTGAGTGAAATTTTCGCCACGAAGGCTACGATAAAAACGTTAACTGACCTCATAGCAAGTTCTTTGGCAGAAATGAGTTGAAAAAGTGTTGTTATGGGGAAGAAATATAGCAAACAAGGTAAGGCATAAGCCGCTAAATTCGCCAAGCACGTTCGTCCGATGGCTTAACTCTTCAAGACAAGATGCCGTAATTACATGTTTAATAATACCCCCGTGCGTATTCTCGGCGTGTGGTTTGTTTCTGCACATTTCTAACCTTGATTCTCTTCATTTCTAGCTTGGATTTCAAGAGAGGGACCTGAAGGTAAGCGCAACGCAGTTCTATCGAACTGAAAGCTGTGAAATTATCGTTGTTTATTTTTCGTCCCCTTTGTGTTCACGCCGATTCGATGCTTTTTTTAATACCTTGCTTTATGCTCTTTTAAGGCGACTGTGTGGTGGAGAACGATGCTACAAATCTGACGCTGAATTTGGTAGAAGAACCGAGAGAGAAAAGTTCATGTACGGCCGACTTCACATACAAGGGCTACCCTGTCAATGTAGTGAGTATAATATAATTGCTTCGCCGTTTGTACGGATATGATTGATCGTTCGGCCTCAACCTGCATACGTTAATTTCACCTTTTTGTGAATTCAAAGCATATTATAACAGTTAATTTACCATCCTTACTTTCCCATGTTCGAGGAAACTTTTTATTGCGGTGGTTCGTGGCAAACTGGTTGTTGCACGGTACTCATGGCATTGATAGCTGTCGGTTTCGAGTGAAGTGATAAAACAACAGCCCCACTAGCAAAGGTCAACACCACATCATCGAACGTCCGCCAGCATTCACGATTTGTCATATTTTTTAGTAAATCGCTTTGCGTCTCTTAACCCACTAATTTATTGTTTCAAACTCGATTGGTTGTTTTCAGATGGCTAGGGGCCTCTGTTAAGAGAGACGACAAGTATTGCGTTGTTGCATGACCAACAGAAAGCTCTGCATGTAGACTAAATAAATCGCTATCTATTGCCGCGGTGATTTTTACCTGGGAGCATTCGGCATGTGAAGCTGTGATACAATGATCGAACGTGAGTGGAAGCTTAATACGCGGGCGGTGTACGTATTAAAATTCCAAAAGACCTAATCGAGTGTTTATTACGTCTCGTTTGTGGAAAGAAATGCCGTAACAAAGTAGACGATTTTCCGTCTGTAGCTCAACGTTCGTGATATTGTTTTGCTGAACAGACCTTAAAATAACTCCAAAAAGTCAAACCTATGTGTTCGACCTTGTCAACGGGAGAGCGGCGGGCTAAAGGAGTTTCGATGATGTTTCCTGAAATATAAGAGGGCACTAGAATAACACTTTGTAATGTCTTGTTCACAACATGTTTCCTCTTCTCCCACCTTGGCACGCCATGCTGAACTCGTTGAATCTGCTGTAAAGTTTTTTTTTAAAAAAATGTGAAAGAAAGTAAATAATTTCTGTGTGCATAACATGCTTAAGTAAGTGTGCACTTGCTTCATAAACATGAGTTGTTTACATAGGCTTGTCACGTCTCGTCTTGCGTCTTTAATTCTGAGGGTAATAAAGTGTTTGACTGCTCAGTGTTTATCGGCTGTTACCTCTCAAATATCGGATATGCTCACTTCTTTATATGAAAGGGCTGTTTGGAATGCAACGATTTTAACGAAATTCATTCAATAATGCAACGTTTCTGTTGTTGTTTTTATTCGAAAATGCTACTTACAAGAAAATAAGGGTACCGGTGTTTGGGACATGGAAGACTGTGGCCACCAAACTGGTGACAGCCTCGATTCTTCTCGCAATATGAACCGTACGTTGAAAGGAAACTGACATTAGAAGTTGGGTTTCGACTTTCATTATCATCTTTTTGGAAAACTGGAACCTACTTCTACTCTCATCTTGTTAGTTTCGTCCTAAGTCGTTGTAATAGGATTAATAGGTGTTCTTGTCTCAAAACAACACGATACTGACAATAACAACGCAGCTATTTCTACTTGCAACTGTCAAGTGTTATGATTTCATATTTGTGCCATCTTAATGCAAAATTGGTGTCTGCTCATTTTAGTAGAAGTCTGAAAAGAAATTGGGTATCTTTCTTCTGTCATGACCATCCCAGATGTAATTGTTTTTAACCACAAGAATTTAAATTAGGCCTAGAAAGTCAAGTAGCCAAGATAGTGTTTCTTACTTTGTGTTAAGCTCTTAGCATATTTCCTGTCTGTGATGTCATTTGTTCTCTCCATGCATGCTTCATCCTGAAATCATCACGACAAGAAGTATGTTGTTGCAAACCTCTAAATTTAAGGTTTGTTCTCAAAGACATAGTAATTTCATATTTGTAGTTACTTTTTCTTGCAAGATGGACGCTATCTATAGTAATGTTTGATTTACCTTATTTACTTTGGGACAATTCAAGCGCAACCTGGTGGATTCCTAATACTTGTCTTGCAGTTGGTTCTTTGTCAGTTTTTGCTGTAACAATTTTGCTTGTTGAGACTACCATTAATGCCTTCACATGTCTTTCTTCTCAAAGCTACAAGATGGGCCTTGTGGATCAGAGAAAGAATTCTGTAAGAAGTATAAATACTATGATTGCCCCATTGAAGGTATGTTTTGTGTTTTAAAACATGTTTTTTGTTGTTGTAATGTGTGGTCGTCACACTGCAGGGTTTACACAGTATATGTAAAATATATTTGAAAAGTGCAACAACAGTCAGTCAGTGGCTGAATGAGTTTGAGCCTGCTTGCTACCATGGTCCACAATGTGTCACCAAATTAATAACTGTGAGATTTTAATCATTCCCAGTGACATAATGAGTGACACTGAGATTTTAGCACAGTAATGATGGTCTGTTTAGTCCTGATGGAATTCTTTAAGTGTGTTACCATCACCCAAGACCTCACATACTGTACTGGACAAATGAACAACAATCAATAAATCATGATCCTCTGGTTAAATGCCTTTCATGTCTTTGAAGATTCTGCTAGGCAGAAGTTTAGTAACAGCTAGCACACAATGGATTTTTTCAAAGATGAATGATATATCATAAAAAACAACAAACATGAAAAGTGAAATTAAAGGGAATCAAAAAAATTTAGAGATTAATGCACTTGTTCCATTTATCCCATCAACTACAAATGAGTGTGTGGTGCACATATAACTAGGAATTCTGAGTTAAATCTTCCCTGAGAAACTGTTCCTATTATTTTTTGTGTGTACTTTAAACTTTAACATAACTTAGCATTAACATTAGCAGTGAAAGTTTCATACAGTTTCCATATTCTCAAGACAAACAATGAATATGAGTTATGATAAATTGGGAGTTTAATATCTTCCTTTGTTTCTTTTGAAGAACAGATTTATTTTTATAATTAGTAGTGTGGAACTGTCTGGACCCTTCTGAATAGAAGTGATACTCACACCTTGTTTATGTTAAGCATAGACAAGACCAGACAATTGCAAGGTGCTCCTCATTGTCCATTTGTTTTAATTGTTGTGGAATTAGCTCATTTAAGGATAATGTTATGGTTAGGGAATATAAGTTGTTCTCTATCTCTGGCCATGCACCCTGTTTTCATCCAATTCTCAACTTAATATTGTTCTCTTCATCAATTCTAACATGACTTCTTCTGTGTAGTTGTTGAATTACCAGAAGAGCCAGATGGCAAGAAATTTGAGGTTGTCTTTGAACGCGAAGGACAAGTTGAAGCCTCTACACAAACCACAAGGCCTGTCACGGTAATTTCTGATAAACCCTGTTAAACCATTCTGTTGATTATGAAGTAGAAATAATCCATTTTTCTGTAATGTCAAGTGACCACTAATGTGCCCCTGAAGTAAAACTGTCCAAATGGAGTTGTAATCCTTGTTTCCGTTACACGAAGTGGTCGTGCGCTGTGTCACAATGATTTTTTATGTGTCCATAGTTCTCAAGTTTTGTCAGTCCCTTGTTCTGTAGCATGAAGTGATCACTAAATAAATGTGCTTGCCAAATCATATTGAGGAGTTTTATTATTAACCGCGCGGCCATGGGCCGAGCGTGGTTCATGTTCTACCTGGGGTTTATTTTTTGTTTTGTTTTGTCGGTGACCAGACCCAAACTACCTCTCAGCCAAATTTTGAATCATGCAATCTGTGATGTTTATTCGCCAAAAGCTGTTGAAACATTAATACATGGACAATGTTAGGGGTATTGTTTTCTTTGTTGTGTGTAAAATATATTTTCTTTTGGTTTGATACAAATTATGGAGATAGTAACCAATTGTATTCAACACTGTGACAATGTACAGAGCAGGTGTATTCAATGCAAATAGAATTACCATCAATGATTGAATGGAGATCGCGATGTCTGAGAAAAATAATTTACCAGCTTAAATTATGGTGAAAGCTGCCGGTGGTGATCTTGATAATTGAGGGATACCAGTATAATTACAGTACGTCTAAAGACAGGCTTTTGAATCACTCTTATCACAAAATTATTCTTCATTTATTCTGACAATAGAATGTATTGGTGTCAGTATCTATCATACTGATAATGAGAGTTAAGATATTTGATTCTCATGCAAGAGAAAAATATGGTAGAAGCCGTCCCTCGGGTACATGTGTACTGTTAGAAGTACCATCCATTTAGAGCAAAATACAGTTTAAAATAGCTTTGGCACTCAACGAAACACTAATCCCATTCACTTATTGGATAGGGTGGCCACTTCCAGTTCATAAAAAAGTAGGGGTAACCAAATGCTCTGAATGAATTCTTTCAACTTTTTTGAAACAATTGTTGGAGTCCTGTAAATTTTTTCCTGTCAACTCCACAGTAATTCAGAGATTTACCACATGTTAAGGTGGACGTTTTTCAGTATAATTTTCTACAGATAGCAGCTACTTTTTCAGCTGTGAGCCATTACCAGTTACATGTGTTTTAAGAAACATACTGCTATTCTGGTGTTTCTGGTTGAGTAAATGTCCATTAAACTTGATTTGGTCATGGTAGGGAAATTGTGCATGCATTTTAGTCTTGCACTAATGGCAGCACAGTCAGGGTTGTCAGTGAGATTTGTAGTAGCCAGGAAAATTTGTAAAGTAGCCAGGGAGTGAC